TTATCAGTAGAAGAGTGTTTGTTTATTTACAACAATAAATAACCTCACTTTTATTCACGTGTGAGCGCGCCAAATGTATGATGTACACTACTTTTCTATGCGTATGATACTCATAGTATGTATACTAAGTAGTAGGAAAAAATTTTTTTAAAGGTGATTCCACCGTGGAGCTACTAAGCGGCAACGGGTTAAGGACATTGGCGATAATCACGGCCCATTTTACTCGTTCTGTAGCAGTTCTGAAAAGTTCTATTGTTGTTTTTCCACTCCACTGCTTTAAATTTTTTAACCAGGACCTGAGTCGTCTCCCCGGTTCTTTTTTTGTTTCCTTCCACTTTTCTTTGTATATCCAATCGCATCAACTCATATTTGTCATTTATTAGTATTTAACCAAAGTATCTCATTTTTCTACAATATATATTATTATACCGTAATATACTAGGGTTCCTAGCGATCTGCTTATCTTGAAAAAATGTGAGACAATCACATAGTTCCCATTAATACCACCCCAAACTACTTTAAGGTAGGGATTGCTTAATGCATAGTAATGAAAATTATGTCTACTCTCTTTTCCATTTTTGTGAAATGTAGCATTATCTTCAAGAAGGACATAATGAGACCTATAACAATATCATTTTTTATGTATTAATATTAAAATTTTGATCAAAATGATAAAATTTATAAGGTTGCAGTAAAAAAAAACATGATAATCTAATATACAAGGCATTTTTACAAAATCCTTGGTACTAGTTTAGTAACTCTTTATGCTTTGGTTTATGCAGACCAAGTATAACATTTATAATTGTGTCCACTTTACAAAACATTTGTCACCCAGAGAGTATGTTAGTTAAATCTAAAGCAAGTTACCAAAAGAACTCATCCACGTTCCCCAAAAATGTGCTTCCCACAGTGCTCGTTCCTATCTTCTCCTAATGCAATTCTCCACCTTTTCTTTTTTTTTAATCACTTCTACTTTTTATGACCCAAGGATCTCTTTTATCGACTCGGTGCCACAAATTCAAACAAAATTTTCCTCGTTACTTACATAACTGGACACATCAGACTCCAAGGAGTTTTCAAAAGAACCTCTCTACTTGATCTATCACTCGTTCCACTATTCTGCTAGTAACACTTTTAACTTTTAACACAATCTGGTGTACTTTTCCAACATACGGTCTTCAATACTGGAATTCTCCTTTCGATCAAACAAATACAACTGCGAAAATTTACTCATTTATTCCAGACATCGGCTCGTTCTCCCCTTGCATCATTTTTTTCATCCAATCAAAAAAACTTTCAACCGTACCATATAGTTTATGAAATTCAACCTCTCTTGTAATTCTAAAGAAATTCTCAAACTTTCGTAGTTGCTTGTTCTTTCTGGAGTTTCAAGAATAAATAAAATTACTTATACCTTTATAACTACAACTTAATTCTACATTTGTGTTATCAAATTCTTGTTCAAATTGTGTTATCGATTTTTAAGAAACTAATACAAAAGAATATTTTAAAAGCTGTCTACTTTATACAATAATCGCTCTGTGAAATATATACGAGTTACTGGATTTTCCACCCTATAAATGGCTATCCGAATAATCTCTTTTGTTGTGATGCCTTACCAAACATTTATATTTCGGCGAAAACACTTTCTTAAAACTAGCTATAATTATTTTTACAAATTTTGTCATTTACAAGGCATTGAAAATTTACGTGAAGGTGGTCTATGAATGCAATTTTTTATTTTATTTTTGATTTCAAATAGGAACATAGCAGTACATAGCATATACAATAAAGATTATTTTGTACATTACAAATGTTATAACCCAAAGGTCAGTTGACAAAAAAATTGATGTTTTTTTCCGATGGCTGTATATTTTTCTAATTTTCACTGTTTAATCATTCTAATAAAGAAGCAATGTCTTCTTCACTGGAAAATTTAAAATAAAACAAATCCTTCTTTTTACGATAAATTCTTTAGAGGTTTAAAATCGATTATTTCGCTCTACACTCTTCGGTTTCGCCTACCATTTATTATTTTAAAGCCGGAAAGCAATAAACGACCGAGTTGATATAATTGACGTGTTTATGTTGTCCCAAGGAACTACAAATGGATGCATTTTCTTCGGTGACAAACATACTTTAAGTGGTTTTGAAGCTGCGGGTCAACTCCCAAGCGTTTTAAAATAGTCAACTGGTATTATAGAAGATGAAAAATTGCTGCCGTTCGGACTTTAAAGTAGTGGTGTATTTAAACACCGGCGTATCGAAAAGAGGGTTTAAATTATATTTATTGCGCTTTTTCCGTTTCAAATAAATTTATTTGTATCATGAATGTGTTGCTTGTGTGAGTCCATTTCAAATAGGTAAAGAAATAATAAATAAGACTTACTCACAATCAATTTAATTTAACTATCAGACGACCGGTTTCGCTTTCTACAATATGCAAAGCATCTTCAGGTCTCGATACAAAGTTAAATAAATGCTGAAATGATAAAAACCCATATTAGGGTGTTGTCTAATAAAGAAAAACAAAGTAGATGTTGGAAATTACAATAATTATGCCAATATTACATGTCTGTGGTTTTATTTCAAAAAGAGTAAGTTGAATAAAAAGTTTTAAAAGTTTAAACAGACAAGGTAAGACCCACAAATTGTTATAAAATAGTCTATTAGATTGTAATAAATTAATAAATGAGCAAATAAATAAACATTACTTATATGCCGGTACTCTATTAATTGATGGATGGTAGAACATGTCTGAAACTTTGTAGAACATAGATTCAACCATGTTCTACCATCCATCAATTAATAGAGTACCGGCATGTAAGTAATGTTTGTTTATTTGCTCATTTATTAATTTATTACAATCTAATAGACTATTTTATAACAATTTGTGGGCCTTACCTTGTCTGTTTAAACTTTTAAAACTTTTTGTAATTTTTTATTCAACTTACGCTTTTTGAAATAAAACCACAGACATGTAATATTGGCATAATTATTGTAATTTCCAACATCTACTTTGTTTATCTTTATTAGACAACACCCTAATATGGGTTTTTATCATTTCAGCATTTATTTAACTTTGTATCGAGACCTGAAGATGCTTTGCATATTGTAGAAAGCGAAACCGGTCGTTTGATAGTTAAATTAAATTGATTGTGAGTTTACCTACATATATTAAATTTATTTGTATTTTACCCCACATTGTATTTTCTTGAAAAATCGTTAAATTAATCAACGAATTTTTTAATTAGATCAAATTAGGGGACTATTTAAAATATAAAATATTGTACAATATGCTTAAAAATAATAACTAATAAAGCTGTCTTTATTCATAGTAATAAATACAATTCAACAAGACTGCGGAAAGAATACGAGTAGTATTCTGCTACCTACAGTAACCTAACCTTTTTTTGCTTGATTAAGGTGGTGGAAAGACTTTATGTCCGAAGTAGATATATAGGTAGGGCCGGTTCCCGCTCATTTCTTGGTGGAGGCGCTACATCGTGTTACCTGTCCATCAGGGTCGTGATGGAAATGTGTATCTGACTCATTGAACGTACAAGAACTAAAAGAAGCGATCGACGATGACCAGAGGGTCGTAAGAAGTGGTCGCTTATCGCTTAACCTTTTCTTCTTCTTAACGTCATAGTGCCTAAACGGTTTATGACTCATCGTGATGTACAAGAAGTAAAAGAAGCGATCGACAATGACCAGAGGGTCGTAAAAAGTGGTCGCTTATCGCGTAATATCTTCTTCTTCTTTACGTCATAGTGCCTAAACAGGTTATGACTCATCGTGACGTACGTATGCCTTTACGGCAACGTACACTGATAAACATGGGTCTGTTGTGCTACATTTATAGGGTGTCAAATGAAAGCGATGATGGCACACACACAAACAGAAGCCAAGTGATATTTGACGCAGGGCGTGACATTTGAAGTGAAATGTCACGTGAAATGACGTGACATTCGACGCAGGACATAACATTTATGTGGCAGTCAATGCAGCCGCTTAACATAAAAGATGACATGAAATCAATTTAGTATCTTGCAAAACAACATACTTTTCTTTGTTCGAGTCTTATCTTCGATATGGCCTTCCTTTTTAGGGTTCTAGTACAGCTGCCCAATCTGATGTTATTTTTAAATTACAACTTAAATTGTTATTTTTGGCCTCAGTAGAATAACACATTGTCGAAGCTACTTAAAAAATCAGGGGTTTTTAACTCTTCCCTCTCTATATATTCTAAACACTGTTTGCTTAATTCGTAAATACCTACATGTTTTTCCAGCAAGACCTAATTATGACTACTCCACCAGAAATTGAAGCTTTGATGTGTATTTGCCTATCCCGTTCACTGAGTTAATAAAGAAATTTATATTATATGCGGCAAAAAAATTATACAGCCATCTTCCTTTGCAACTTAAATCTACAACTTCTTTCCTTAAGTTTCGTAAATTGACAAAAGCCGATCTATCTGAAAGACCGTATTATACAGTGGAACAGTTTCTTAACGAATAACTAAGAAATTACAGTATGTTTAGGTACAAGCAACAACGTATTTTTATATGTATTTTGATATCACATACAGCAGTTTGAACTTATTCGTAAACTAAGGTTTTATTATGCAATTTGTAATTTAGTGAAATTTTGCAATAGATTATCATGTTTTATTTAGAAATATTGACGATTTATGTAAGTTTAAGTAGTAAATTAAGATTTAGTAAATTTTAATTATTATTTGTTATTTTTATGACTTTTTGTAAGCTTTGTTTATAATGTTGTACAATTTTCAGTGGCAATAAAGCATATTTCTATTCTAACCATTTGTCTAACTGAGATAACTATCTTATACGAAATTAAATCTGCTTTCAGAATTGACTTTTTACATTTGCTATCAATAATTTTGGTAAAAGTTTTTAGAGTTAAGACTGCACCTAAACTATTTGCAATTTATATTTTTAACAGGTGTATTAATTAAATGTTTTTTTTTTCAGGAAACACTCCTCCAACAGTTCCAACCGACATCCTCGCCCCCACCAACGGCCAGTCACCTACCTCAGCTGAACCAGGAGCGGCCGCCATATGTCCAGTAGCCGCTGCAGCAGCTTTAGGCAACCGCAAGAGGCCCCTTCTCTCTGGGGGACCGCGAACGTCCATGACGCCCACTAAGAGGACAGTAATGGGCCTATTAGCCAGAGCACGGGCAGCTCAAGCCAAACAATTACCAGGTGTAACGGGAGCTACTGCTTTTGCAAGAGGCGTTTCTGTATTTGATGAGTAAGTTTCTTTACATCAACTATAGTATTTTTTAATGACTTTGGACTGCTTGATATTTTTAACCACGGTAAGTTAAAAGTACGCTGTAGTACTGTTTGATACAACAATAGATATAAGGGAAATTAATGAATGGAGAATAAAACTATGTTAAAAATGTGTAAAATATTTAATTCGTAGCTGCTCTATCGGGTCACAAAGCCCTCCTCAGAGCTATGGTCAAAAATTTAGAAAGTACCACTACTAAAGGGGGCATCCCATTGATGAAAAAATTTACAAAGTTCTTCAAAGATAAAAAAAACTTACAAACAATACTCTAATTAGACTCTAAACGACTGAAGAAAAATCCTATTCACAGATGAAACTTACCTTATAGTTTAGAGGCAGCGGTCGGAATTCGTCAGGAAGTCTGACAATGAAAACCTTACTCCATCTCATATTGATCAAACCGTAAAACATCCAGTCAAAAAAATGTTTTGTAGATGTTTTTCATACATGAAGGTTGGATTTTTGGTACCAATCGAAGGCATGATGAACAGCCAAAAACACAAATCCATGTTGAAACAACGTTTCGATACAGAACTCCAAAAATGTCAGCCCCAAGGAGAAGCGATTCTTCAACAGGACTCTGCTCTCTGTCACAAGTCAAAGCAAGTGATGGATTTTTTTAAAAATAAGAAGATTAATGTTTTAGATTATTTCGGTAATTCGCCAGACCTCAACCCCATTGAAAATTTATGAGCGCAAAGCTTTCCTAAATAATTAGTCGTTTCTTTTTGCATACTGACTGATTTTTAGTTGCATTTTACATATTCTGAAGACTTATTTATTGACAGCTGTCAAAATAGAGGTGATCCATTATTTTAATTTTTTATTATACCTTAAAGATAAACTAAAAATACTATATTTCCAATAATATGACCAAATATCGAAAAGAAACTTATGTTGAGATTAAGATAACAAACGAACACATTCTACTTCTCCAAACGACATCTTCATAATATATTTTTGTAAAAAAAGAAATGATGCTGAATGTGTCAAGTGGATCAGATGCTCACCGGTCCCATATTGTAAATAAATACACGTTCAATTTCTTTCGCTCTCGAAAAAGGAGGGATCCCGCAAGCATTTGCGTTTTATAATATTTCCATTTCCATTTTCATACATAACAAATGCAATACATGATAAATGGCGGGAAAATAAATTATTCAAAGGTACAGTTTTAAGGGAATGGATAACTTTTTGAAATATTTATATGTGCAAATAATACTAGAGGTGGAAAATTATGTTTTATGTCAACGTTAATAACTATGATATTTCGAGTGGAATAAATCGTCTGTATTTAACAGGATCATAAATAATAAAAAAGTGCCTTTACAGGAAAAGTAATTATTAAATTGGAGCCTGCAAGTGACTATGGTCAAACAAAAATTTTTCAAAGCAAATTAGTGAGTGCAATATTTCAACAGCGATGATTTATTTATAATCCGGTCAATTTAGACATCAAAATAGTGATCAAATAACAAAAATTCCCGGAAAGCCAAGTATTGGTGTAGAGCTGGGGTTTAGCATTACAAATAAAGTTTTAAAAATCCCCATCTATCGTATGTTTGCTACAAAATGTTTTTGTTTTGTTTTTTTTTATATTTTTTTGCGTTTCTTTTATTTTTATCAAAAACGGTGAGTTTTATCAAAAAAATCTCAAACCCAAGTTATACATCTAAAAATTCTCTACACAAAAATAGTCTTTATAATTTTTATCCTAAGAGTTACCATTCCTTAGATATCGCGATTCTAAGAGTCACATTATACATGATATGCACATATAAGCAACGTATATGCATAACAGGCACTTACTGTGACGCACCCGGGACGATTTTGGGGGTTTAAACCCCTCCCCCCCCCCAGGGCATATAAAGTAAAAAATATATAATGAATAGTAGGAAAATATAACTTGTCTTTCACACACAATACAAAAATCAAAAACCCTAATTACCACTTTAAATATGTAGAACACAATAATTATTTTATAAATACACAATAATTAACACACAATAACTAATAGTATTTTTCATTATATTTAGATATAAATACCAAATATTAGGGTTATGACAAAAGTAGACAGAACGAGTCTGTTGCGAGTAGCATGCGCTTACAGGACTCTATCTGCGGCGGCCTTCTGGAATATCACGGGTTGTGTTCAACTTGGATGTGTTAGCAGTAGAGAAGCAAGCAGTAGAACATTTGACAACAGCTATAAAAAAAGAAGAAAGGGAAAGATCAATGGAAAGGTGGCAAGAAGAGTGGAACAACAAGAAAGATCGTGCCCAGTGGACCAAGATGCTGATCCCGATCATAAGGGACTGTGTAAATTGTCTGTCAAGATGTACCTTTAGATCAGATGTATCTTTAGAACAGAACTATAAAAATGCGATTGAAATTGAAGTATGGCAGTAGAATTATTATTACACAGAAGACTAGAAAATTTATTTGTTTTATTGACAATTGCCAAGATATTTTAAGTCAAGTCTGGTCTGGTGAAAAACACTTGTATGAAAAAGACCAGCAGTTAAAAACTTTGAAAGCTGCAGCAGCAATTTTTTGTGAAGATATTCAATCTTGCGTTCTAGATGATACTACGTACCTCTGCTGCATACAACAAGCGTCATAATTTAGATCATCTAAAGTTAGTTTGTACAATTTGCAATTTAAATGTAATCGTTTCTACTCATTCATGTTAATATTATAATGTATAATATATTAAAGTTTTTAATATTGGTAATATTATTAAAGCTTTCAATATTATTTTTTAATATTAACAATAATATTAAGTAATTAAATATTGCGCCTTGCCACAGCCACCTTTACTTCCAAGCCATGAAGTAAAAAAGGCAACACCGCATTCTATGACGTCGGTAGTCCGATAATCAGCTGTAAGGTCTACCAGAATATTAAACTAATTTGAATTTTAGGAAACTGATATTTTGAAAACTTCAATTCATTACAGAAATATTTTTAGGGAAATTAAATTAATAAAACCTTATATATACCTAGTAAATATATATAAAGTTTTATTATTATTTAGGTTATATTATCAATAAAATAATCACTAGAGTAAAATTTATTGCACTTAAAATACAGTGTCAAACAGTTAATCTTACAATCAAATACAGCCAAGAATCTCTAGAAATTTTAAAACACAAAAACTCAGTGTAACTATTATGATTAAAAAATTCATCCTAAGAAATCAGACACAATATAAATATGGTTCTAAATTAATCTAATTGATAATTAAATATTTTACTATTTACTTATAACTTTTGTTGAATTTTCATACTTAGATATACAAAAGTATGTAGCAATTTTAAATATGAATAGGTTTGTTGTCATATAGACCAAGTTAAAAGAGGTATACATGAAAAATGTGTTGAATGTAACATACCATTTATAACTTGTATATCGATTTAAAATAGCCTATACTCTCAAAAGATTTTTGAATGTAATACTCAAATTTGTTATCACTTATCTAAAAAGTAGATTTATATCGAGAATGTAAGTTCTCTAATTGTGACCATCTTGTTAATTTACTGTATTGTCAAATCCATTTCAAATCATTACCACTTAATCTATTCTTACCTACATTGACGATTACACTAAAATTACTGCTAACTATTACACTACATATTACACAAATATTATCACACTTGTGTCCAAACTGATTAATGTTTAATACATAGAAATATACACAGTCACTTGTAATTTTACTTGTCCAGTTTTTCAATGGGATATTATTGTCTAAGTCTAATTGACATAATTATGTTATCTCTTGTTCCCTCTTCTTATGCAAAAAGTTTCTTCTGTCTTCGGGATTCCTTCTTTCTTTAGTACGATGAACAGTTACATATGATGGTACTTCAGGAAATATATTAGGAACTGCATTGCCTTTTAATTTGGGAAATATTAACTTTTCAATGTGTACATTTCCATCTTTATCTTCTCATTGTTCTGTCCGCTGAACATCATCTGCATGAAAATGTTTGGCACATACTACGGAAGATTTGGTAATTGTACAGCCTTCTCTATGAATAGAGCATAACCCAGTATACCTTCTTTGGGAATCAAAAACGTACTTTCTGCCTGTTTCGTTTTTAAAGTACTGGCATAATTGGTTTTGCAACCAGGTACACAACAATGCCAGAGCATCTGTAACAAAAAACAAAAGTATTATTATTGTTGTTTTTAGTTTACATATTTTGTAACAAGAAGCAAAAGTATTATTATTTTCAGTTTGTTTTGTAGGTTATATTTATACTTGCCTTTTAAATTGTCGTTATGAATCTTCTAAAAGTTCTAAATTTAATGAAATTTCACTTATATTAATATTTTCTAATTGATGTAAACATAATTTACAAATAAAACATTCGAATAAAGTTAAAAAAACAATAAATTCAACAAACTTTACAAGCCTTCCTATTTGAAATGTTAAACCAAAACAAACCACAGTCGGACTACCACGCGTTGTTGCCAAATTTCTACTTCATGGCTTGGAAGTAAAGGTGGCTGTGGCCTTGCTTAAAAAAATTACGAGATAAATAAGTCGTTTTTTTATATGAAAGTGCAATTTTCTTGCAAATGCCTTGAGAGGGGAAATTTCCAATATAACACCAACCAAATGACAAAAATATTAACTTAGGTACATGCAATCATTATCACTGCTTAGCGTATTTTCATGGAAATCAACCGCTGTGCTGACTAGTATTTTTTTTTAAATTGTGATGAATAAATAAAGTATATATTAAATAAAGGGTATTTTAAATAAATTTGTAATATTTTATGCGAAAAGAAGAAAAGACTCAGTTCCGAGTCGTGAGCGTATTCCTTATATTTTCTTTAATTGTGTTAAGCTACTCGGATGTGAGTTGTTATTTATTCAAAAAAATTAATTTACAATATTTTTTATTAAATCAAATGAGAAATATTATAGCAAATTAAGAACTAAGGGAAAAA